TCAAGATCAAGTTATTAGGAACTGTAGACTGAAAAATAAAATCTAGATCTAATATAGTTCAGAACTGCGTCAATTGATAAAGCTAAGTAGGGTTGAAAACGGTGGCTTAATATTTGTGAACGCCGCTGTTATCTGGCAATAATTGCTATCTCATCCTCCAGAGATACCTTAGTCGCCGCTGTTTGCGAATAGACTACTACTATGTAATTAAAGGGCTCACTTATTTATGAGGCGATAAGAGGACGATAACGATCTCGTACTGCGGTGAGACCATAGAGGTTGGGTGGGAACACTTCCTGAATGGTAAATTGTTGTGGGGGACCAAAGTAACTGCGAAGAAGGCTGTCCCGTAGACAGGGCACAGCATCCTTGCGTGAAACATATAGAGGAGTCGCACTTGCCGCGCTGGGGAAGGGAAGGGGTCGTATTTGGTCGTTGTTGGGAGAGGGGGGGGTCGTGTGTGCCTTTGAGAGAAATTTGCCGCGTTGGGGAAAAAAATTTTCCCAGTTGTGTTGGCTTTTCGCTGTTCGCGGTTTTCCCGTTTCACGTGTGCTATTTAACCCGCTCCCCCCCCGTCCTTGTAGTTTAATAGCACATGTGAAATGGGAAAATGGGAATTGGAAAAAACCGGCAGGAAGCTGGGAACCTGTAGGGAAGTGGTAGGGTAGGTACCGGGGAAGCGGGGGAGGGGATGTGAGCACGAGACCCACCCTCGAAGAGAGGATCGTACTGACACCCACAATCAGGATCCTGTACCGCTGTCCGTAGCTTTCGGAGAGCGCGAAACTCCATGTTCCATGGGTTTTTTTGTTTTTCGCTCGAAGAAGCCGTTCTAGTGCACAAATTCAAGCCTCTACAAGATCGACTGCGTCATCACTATGGGCCGTTTCAAAAGGCAGTTGGCACGATAAATCCCCCAAGACGACTAGGATCAATACTCCTGGCAGGATAGAATTCCGCGACCCTGGGCAGGCGCTGCATAGCGGTTTCCCCGAGGAAGGTGCCCTTATAAGGGCCCTATCAAGCCACAACTTTACGTCCCAAACGCCCGCCACGCCCGCCCGCCCACAAATGGACGACGTTCTGACCCTCTGCATTCATTCATTTGCTAAGCAAATGTAAAGCGGAATGGATTGGTATGAAGCCCCGTGAATGCTGCAAGTGCATTACATGTGTAACATATGCAGCGTATCTTCGGTAGCGGGATTTGGCAAGACTGCCTTACGGGAAAACTCGTCCGAAATCGATTTGTCAAGTCAACTAGAAGAAACGGAGGCCTTTTCTCGCGAGGATTCTTGACTGCGTTTTCACTCCGCGTTCTTTCGCCATTTTCCCACTATGCTGCGGCCCTACAAGGCATTTGAGCTGAGTAAGAACACATCGTGCCGACTGCTTTACGTCCTCCATCCTCGATATAGGAAAAGCAGATGAGAATCGCCAAATGGCCCAAATTTTAATAGAAATCATCTGTTTATTAGAAACTTTCTCCACAAACACACCCCGCCCTAACCACAGTTTGCTACCACTGGGCGATCTGCGTTTCTCATTGTTATCGAATGAATTCATTTATTAATATGGTCAATCATATTGCACAAACATAAGTCATACATAATAATAATAACGGGCTATACCAAAACACATTCACACCTGTCTTACTATCAAGCTGTCTTCGACGGCGATCTACTACCGGACTCCTTGGTAGGCCAACTTCCGTATGTAGAAGTGGGAGCAGTTGTAAAGATCGCCATTGAAGAGCTCAGAAACTTTTATAATTGTCGATATGTGTAGCATGAGATGTCTCCTTTCGTCTCTTGGCAGAATAATTCGGTGTTCGTCACGTAACTGAAAGAGACAACAATCAGGGCGCATCAATGAGATGCGGAAAATTTCCGCTTATTTATTCCTAGCCTCGTACATTTTCCCTTTATACGAACCTCCCCAACACTAAATACCCTAAATTGTTCCCTCGTGTAAGGAGACGGTTCCTTGGTTACGACGTCAGGCCGATCGTGAACGACCGGTAACCCATAGCTTCCCTGAAAAAGGTAGGGCCCCCACTAGGTTGCTTGCGGGTCGCCACGCGTTACTTCGAGCTCTGAAGGCGTTCGGACAATTTCTTGCTAGGCACCCGCAAGTGTCGGAATGGCGCGCAGTCCAGAGCACATCACCCTTGTAGGAACCATCGAGGGACTGTATTTCATTGCTAAGATGGAGTGCGGGGGGATCGTAAGCGCAGAGGTCAGTCAGCGCTGAAGATGGTTGAACGAAAGATAGTGAAGTCAAACCCTTTCTTAGAACAAGCAACATACTCCCCGCACGGGCAAACATTCTCAAAAACTGGGCGTTGATGGCCTTCCCATCCGTTTGAGTAGGGTCGCACTGAGATTAACTTTTGGGTAGGGGTAGTACTGACGCAAGTAACACTCACAGGTCGCGGTCGCTGATCCGGTGCCCGCGATTGCATTGCCCTAAACACCGATAGAGGCCATATACATGCCAAAAGTATTGGCTATATGCGTGTTCGAAGCGGGCACAGTAAGCAACAAAAATATCAACAGGGTCGAAGACCGGTCCTCTACTGCTACAGGATCCGCTAGGAATCCCCAAGAATCAGTTCTGGATAGGAACGGGATAAAGGATTGGGTGGAAACTTCACAGACCGATGTCATTTGCCTTACCACCCACCTGAAATCTCCGTTGGCGCAGATCACATCGAATCGGCCACCGAATTGCGCTTCTGCTGCCAACTGAATAAGTCGCTTCGAGCTGTTCAGATTCTCATCGATGTTCTGAAACCATTAATAAGTACTGCTGAAAGATTAAACCAGATACAATATTGTTTGTTACTCACATCACAAAGCAATCGAAGTTTTCCTGAGGTCTTCAGAATTGCAGAGTGGGTCATCGGTGAGATTCAGGCTAGCAATGTCGACTACACGTTCTTCGACTGCTTCGGCCGTCGTTGAGCCGATTGGGGATTGCTGAAAGAAACTGCTCTAAACAGTTTTTATGAAATGAATGTTAATGTAAAACTTGGTTCTTAGTAGTTAGATAATATGAGTGCGAGGGCTAGCGTTTTAATTCCAAGGCGGGCCCTGGTAAGCAACACCGAACTAGAACTGCTGTTTCTTTTTTTGGGCCCAGGCAAGATCCGATCTGAGATTTGTCTCTTGTACAGAGCACACTTGCCACTGCATCACGTCCAGTCACAGGAACGTTGTATAAATGTGCAAGGAGCAAGACATACCGTTGTGAAGCTGGTTTCGGATTTCTCAAGAGCATTGTCCTGTTCTTCTATCACTTCCTCGTTCGGCTGCCCAGCTGCTGCTGCCGCTGGCCCGCTTCTGTCGAGTTCTAAAATAAGAAGTTCGTTAGGAGAAAGTTACGCATCAGGAAAACTGGCAAAGAGCTCGAGGGATTCTCTACCTGGGATAAATTCTATCTTAGAATTCCTTCGAAAAAAAAAACGATTTCTTATTAGCAGCTTACAACAGTTAATATCCGCTTATAGGAGTATCCAAATGAGTACTGACGCCTTTCGTATCACCCATCAGTAATTCTTTTTAGCTAGTGCACACAGAATCCACTTAATTCGCAGTAATGAGGATTGGTACTTTATTGACAGAAACCAACGAAGAAAAGTGCAACGCCCTTTGTGTCGCTTTCATAAAAGGCGTGCAGATCGAATGCATCAGGGTGATAATAGGAGACGCGGAAGAAAGCCCAAGAAAGTTTTTGAGGCGGATCCCCCAGCGAAGGAGAATCAGTGACGTTACCTGGCCGAGAAAATTTGAGAATAAACATCGCCAGTCGTTGACTTATTCCTCCAGTGGTGCCCACCTGGATTGAGGCCGTTATTGGGGAAAAGTAAAGAAATTTCGGTCAAGTCCGGAAAAAAAGGTATGAAGTTGGGAGAATTCGGGAACATTCAGGGACATTCAGGTATGATGTGAAGGCAGGTCGTATCAAAGGAGGAATGTTTGAAGAGGGGGACGTCATGTTTCGTAAAAACTCTCCCCGACGGCCGGGCGTGCCCTGGGGAGCCGCTTGTGAAAGTCCTTTGGAATGAAAAGACGGTCGTGATCATGACGATCCACTCCTTCAATGTACACTCGAAATCCTGAGATCGGGTAGGCGTGGCCGCATGTTCAACATAAAATAGGTGCCCATGCATCCAGTGAGATATTTTCATCTTGACACAATTGTTGTCGTGTCTCTGTCCAGCACAGAACAAAATGACTGTTGTCCCACACTGAAGTACCCTCGTCATCCGGGCAGTTGATTAGGGCGGTCGTCAACGGGCCGCAGCGCGTGCCAGGAACTATTTGCTTTTCCAGACTAATTTAGTCATTTTTTCCAACTTTTCACTGTTTTGGCTACTTTTTCCCAGATTAGCAGCTCCTTATCTTCACAAGGTGGAAAAATCTAAATTAGCCTGGAAAAGCAAATAGTTCCTGGCACGCGCCTGCGTTGACGACCGCCCTAATCAACTGCCCGGATGAAGAGGTTATTCCGCTAGTAACATATTCCGTGACATGTTCAAATGCTACGCCTACTCTCGCTTGCAGAGATAAGGAGTTAGTTTGCCTTCCAATGCAGGGCACCCTTAGTATGCGGGGCACCTTATCGGTTGATGGAAGCTCACAGGGGATGGGGGTTGGAGTTGGATGGCGTAGAGGCTTAAAGTTCACCTTGAGATTCCTTCCCGCGTTCGTTTTGTGGTCCTCTTCAAGAGGGAGATGTCTGATATAAACATCTCCCTAACGAAGGGGACCACACTGGGGACAATTTGTTTGCAGAGGAATGTACGATAAAAAAGAGGCGGGGGCTTGTATAATTTCAAAAGGCAATTTTCCACACCGCGATGATGTGCCGAGCTTCCGCACAGCTTTTATTCTATATGTGCCATCAAAGAAAGGTTTGTAGTAGACAAATTGAGGGCCTCATGTGCAGATCCAGACCCCACAAATGACCACGCCCGTGGCGAGGACAGTACAACGCTAATTTTTCGTTCCATTATGAACTTGGGCAAAGTATAGATCGAAAATTATGGGTGGGCCTCTCAGAAGTTTCAGAAAATACAATGGCTGAAACAATAAAACAGTGGCAACAAGAAAAAATTCGTGACCCCGCACTTTATCCGTGCTTACGCCAAAATCAACACAATAGGAGGCGTTTAAAAGATTCTTTGCATATTTCGCAACGTGCTAACCATTTCTACTTTACTATGTTTTAAGCCGCAGGCCATTCCCAGGAAGGGTCCCATTACAACTTTTCTTATTTGCAGAGATGGTTTCGTTCCAGCTTTTTAAAAGTGCAGCCAATATTTTCGTACTAGGCGCTAGGATTTCATCGCTCTACAGCGTAGCTTAATAATTTATTCTTTCGAGGAAGTTTTTTTCCTAGAAAGTTTTTCTTTCATCAGGTTGGAAAAATTCTTCACTCATACTACTTGATCCTTCAAATCCTTCAAATGACAAGGCACATTCCACACTGATCGGGGAATGAATGGACCACTGTGCTTCCCTCGTTGGTTAGCCGCAAAAAGGGTTATAAATGAGATTTGTTCAAGAAACAGAGCCACATGTCCTTTACCAGCTTACTGTAGAACTTTTGCGAGGAAAAAATAAAAAAGAAATATACTCTATCAGCAGAAATCTGAGCACTTACACTAATAAGCATATCGCGTTGTTCTGGTCCAAAGTCACGTTGGGGATTGACTGCTTGTTCCTGAAAGACCAGTCCTAATTCCTATAGTTTTATTTATTTATTTCGGCAATGTTTCTGATCTCGGTGCGTCACTATCACAACTCACCTACAACCCTTGCGAAATCTTGGAAGGAGTGGCGGAGTGTGGTGGGATGATTCTTCGTAGCTTGGCCATACCGACTAAGGGGTGAGACATATTACACGAAATGATGGAAATCTATATCCGAAAAAGTTATTTCGAGGCCAAATATCACCCATCCTCTTCCCCCTCCCCCCCCTCCATGGACTGGTCCGCCATGGGACTGTCAGCATTATCCATCTCGATTGCCGGCTGAGGCTTCAATTCTCTGGTTTTTGCGCACTGTCACAAGGCGTTCTTCCTTGTACTTTCACCTGGACAGGATATCGAGGTGGTCTCAACCTGGACGATTCCCACAAAAAAAGTGAAATAGTGGGTCATGCTTTCGTGGCGCTTATCAAAGAGATTCGCCTTGGGTTGATCACCACATGGGGTCTCGGGACACCGGACGGAGAGCTGGTTTTGAAGATCTTTCTATCGAAAGTTCACCCGATCTAGGCTGGATATGTCCGGGGAGGACTAGCTCTGTCATAGGTTGGATATGTCCGGGGAGGACTAGCTCTGTCATGTAATAATAAGTGCTTGACCCAGGAATAATGCTCTTGGAGAACGGATCCGCTCCTAGGACACTACACTGATAATAAGCCCCACTCATACTGGTATTCTGAGACAAATAGGTTTGCTTCTTTCGCGCGCACTGACCTGAGCTTCCAGGTATCTTCGGATCTCCTAACCCAAGCCGCTTCTCTAGGAGAAACTGTTGAAAAAAGTAACTTTTTCTGTGAGTTCCAGTGACATACCTGCTGAGGGTCGACCTGCATCTGAGCTTGAGGTTGGACCGGCTGGTTTTGAGAAGCAAATGCCTCAACTGGGGCGTTGGCTAACATAGCCTGGGGGAGGTTGCTGTGGTGCTACTTGTCCTACAGGAGGTGCTTCTGGTTGGAACTGAAAGTATTAGAATGATTTGTAGGTTCCGCAAATTGTTGCAATATTGAGGATATAAATCAAAGTACCAAGCAAAGATACCTGTGGTGGCCCTTGATAAACTGGAGGCTGGGGTACAGGAGGTGCAACATATGCGGGAGGGGGAGGCTAAAATTATGGAAACTTTCCACTATAAGTGTTCGCAAAAAAGGGAGGCTCCACATACGCGTAGACTTTAAGTAATTGAAATCAATCAAAAATACAAAAAAAATCGTCTTCACCTGATAAAGTGGTGGAGGTGGAGCAACGATTGCCGGTGCGGCTGGGACGCAGGCTTGTACCGGACCACAGATAGCTGAAAGTAGTCACGATCAATGTGCAATTCGTCCGGACATGCAACATTTCTCTTCAGATCACAACTTGTGACTAAGAGGAGGAGCGCAGTGCTAGAAGGTAGTGCCTCGCGCAGCTTTCTAGCTGGTTGACCGTGCTTACTAAAATATTTTCGGGCCAAATCGTCTTGAACAATATCAGTCAGAACTGTGATTCTCACGAATCTTATAGAGAATCGTACCAAACGAATAGAGGACAATGGTAAGCCTGGGTCCGTAGTCCATGGAATCGAAGGTAATTGTGCCTGTAAGCGTCATCCTTCCTCGCTAG